AGCAATCATCATCGGGAAAAGATTTGATAGAGATATGTAAATAATGCATCAAAACTTGTTTGAACAATCATGGAAACAAAATATTTTTCTCTTGTGTTTTATTTCTTTAAAGAGGGAGTAAGGCTAGGGTATTCTGTTTTCTTTTACTTCATTTGCTTCTTTATTTGATTATGTTAGTTTCTCATTGACCTCTATTGCGGTTTGACACAATTCTCATGTAGTGACACTCTTTAGATTGAGCGACAGTTGCTGGTTTCTCCTCAAATGCTCTGGAGTACCTTCTTTCATTTTATTTTTTCTTCTTTTGTTTTTCTCTGTTTTACTTGTTGATTTATTCACTTTCTGGTTATACTTGCTCATGTTGTTCTTGTGTTTTCCTTCTTTGCATCACCAATCCGGCAAGAATGCAAACAAGAAGAGGTTCAGTTGTATCTATCTATCTATCTATCTATCCGTTTATATATATATATATATATATATATATATTGCTAACGATAGTGATAGTACTTGCGGTAGTGCTTGACTTCACTAGAGTAAAGAGGTTGCTATTCTCTTGTCAGAGTGGTTCTTTTTTTTTTTCCTTTTCTTTTTTCTGATACATCCAATTGTATACATACATATTTTTCTACTAGTATACGTTCCATCCATTGTTTTTCTTTTTTCCCCCTTTTTTCTTCTTTTCTTTCAGAGGATTATGGCTTACATAAAAGATCCAATCGAGCAGCCGCTGCAAGAACAAGAGCCAGAGCCAGAGCCAGAGCCAGAGCCACCTCTGGAAGTCGAGGCAATATCTCGTCAAGATGCTCTTAGTCAACGGGCTGCAGCCACATTTGACTGCAAGCGGCGATTGGGTAAAGTTCTTGCGGCCACACCAAACGGTCACGGCTGTCTCATGCAAGAAGATGACGACGGTGATGTGGAGTACAAGTGGCGACTCACAGGTATTACACAACATCGATTTGAACATCTCGTAACGCAAATGCGATTTCGTGTCGGGGAGGGAAATGGTCAGTGTCTCTATGAACTTGGTATCGCTAATGACGGCACACCAAAAGGACTTCCACTTTCAGACTATTTGGAGTCTGTGGAGACATTAAGAAATATGGCGGAAGTTCTTGTCCTTGATACTACTATTCTACAGGAATTTATGATTAAAGCAGAACCGGAACCACTTTGGTGTGGTGAAATTCTTATAACACGTCGTCAAGCAAAATTGCATGATGGACGTATCGCCTTTTGTGGTTCCATTGGAAGTGGGAAATCAACACTTATAGCTGTTTTATTAACAGGGGAGTTAGATGATGGAAGTGGTAGTGCTCGTCACTTACTCTTTAATCATAAGCATGAAGTCTGTTCAGGAAAGACAACATCCATTGTGAGACGTATTCTTTCCATTGAAAATACAGAGGAAAGTTTAGGAATATCTTCTCCCTCTTCTTTACGAGGTAGTTCAGATGTATCTAAGTCTCTCTCATTAATAGATCTTGGAGGAAATGTGACGAAACAAATGCTTTTTGGTTTAATGAGCCGTCGACCAGATTTTACTGGTATATGTGTTTCTGTAGAAAATCCTGCTGAAGAAGTGACACGATATGCACGGGTTTGTCGTGCTTTGCGGTTTCCTTTTTTTGTTGTTGTAACAAAAGTAGAAACTGTTCTTGATTTTGAACTAGACGCATTTTTACTTGAATTAGCTGTTGAATTTTCTTCTATTGGATGCAGTTCAGTTGTTTTAAGCGATATGGACGAAGTTTACAGATTTCAGCGACTATGGGAAAAATCGAATCAAGTCCCTATTTTGTGCGTTTCTTCCGCTGATAGTTCTGGTATAGATAATTTCCGTCGCTTTCTTGCGTCTCTTCCTTTGGGAATGCCACCAGGAACACCCGATCACAAGTTTGAAGTTCTCCTCGATGGTGGTTTTTTTGTTAATGGAGTGGGACACGTAGTACGTGGGCATGTTGCGCGTGGCTTTGTGGAATTAGGCTCCCGTTGTAAAATTGGTCCAGACACGGATGGTCAATTTTATTCGGTAACGATTCAAGGCATTCATGTGGAAGGTTCACATGTAACACGTGTGCAGCATGCAGAAGATGCCACTTTTGCTCTTTCAGAACTCCCAAGTAGTGTGGATTTGTCGCAAAAAGGCAAACTTTTAATTTCACGTTCAGTAAATGTGTGTTGGGAATTTGAGGCACAAGTGAAGGTACTTTCGCAGGGTATGACACCCCAGTTACAGCCAATTCTGTATACGGGAAATGTTCGTCAGGCAGTGAAGATTGTGTCAACATTACCTCATGAACTGCAAGTGTTAGATACAGAAGGAATTTTACGTCTTAGATTTCTGTATCACCCAGAAGTACTGCGGGAAGGGGCAAGTATAATTTTGCAATGGAATCCAGAAGGAATAGCTGTTGGAGAGGTGATAGCTGTTTTGGATCATTTTCATGCTTAAGTGGTAAAATGACAGGAATTTTTTTTTTCCCTCCATATATTGCTATTACTATCTTTCTGTCTTCCTTTTTTTTTTCTTTTTACA